CTATTTTTTACTATCTGAAGTTTAATTTTTAGTTTTTGTTGGTCTCTGAACTTCAGGCGCTCAGAGCTTCATAGCAGTGGAGATACTAAGAAGCAGAACTGTGACTGTTAGAGCTCGACCTTCAGTTCCACCCATACGTCTCAAAACTCAGCCAAAAAAAGACCATCTTTAAAATAACGCTAATTTCTGCTAGCACCCCTGTGGGATTCTTATAGCACGTTAGCACTAAACTGACACTGGTGCGTCAGCGTTACAGTGACTCTCTCAGTAAAGAGTCCTGCATAGAGCTGCTGCTGCTGTTTAACATTCCTAACAACTAACCGGAACACTGATTAGAGTACAGCTCATATTCACAGTCAGTTATCTAGAACCTCCAGAAGATTTTTTTTCTCTGGTCCTAAAACATGATTGGTTGATTCACTTCCTGATTATGTTGGTAGTTAATCTAACGTGTAAGGCCTTCAGTCCAGCTCCTGAAGTCCTAACCAATGAGAGAGCAGCTCAGCTGTATCTACATAGATACCACAGAGAGACCAATCCTGATTGGACGATTTTCTGTTGGGTGTTTGAAGATTTTAACCTTTTTGTTTCCGAACAAAACATAATGATTAAATAAAAGTGTTACTACAACAGTTTAATACAATAGATTAAATATTGATTCTGTGAAATAAAAATGAACTAAAATTACAGACACACGTTAGTTTTACTTCTCAGACTCTCTCTGAACACCTGGGAGGAACCGAGGGGTCCTCACTGATTTACAGCTCAATGTTTTAATGAAATTTAGAATGATAAAATATGAATGTAGGATGGTCCAGTGAGGGAGCGTTAGCGGCTGAATGTTCAGTCAGTGGACAGAATTCAAAGCAAATATAAACGTAAACAGGTGAGCTTACTGATGTCCTTTTTGAGGTTTTGATCTCCGGTACTGACTGTGTAGGAAAAACACACCTTCACCTCAATACTGCAACACAAACAAACAAACAAACAAACAAAGCACTCAGCTAATGATACAGTAATAATACAGTAATGAAATGAATGAAGTTCTAATAAAATCATCATTAAGCATGTCTATTATTCAGAAGTTTTAACAAGAAAATTCTGAAAATCATTATTTAAAACATTGTAGTGTTTTGTTTACTATAATTTTATTCTACTTTATGTGATCAAAATGCAGATTTATAATGTTTCAGTCCACAAATTTGATAAAATCATGTAATATTCTATATATAAACAGATCAGTTATTAATGCTGGTGAAGTTGGTGAATTAAAGTGACAGTTCAGCCCACCAGGAGTCGCAGTCGTCCGGATTCACGATCTGCGGCGTCACTGTGAAGGTTTTCTGCAGGTGGATCACAGGACGAGCTCTGAAAACAAAACAGAACCAAAACAAATCTCACAGAACTACAGTGATTACTAAATTAATCAGCACTGAGATTCTGTACAAACAGGGAAAATACATCTGAGTCTGATTACCTGAGTAAGGCCACTCGATCGTCCAGCGACCCCACGACCATGTCAGGATATTTATTTTCATCGACATCTAATCCTCCACTGATGGAGTAACCAAACGTCTTAAACCCGCCGTTAGTGATATCCTTCCCCTCAATCACCTACAGGACATCCACAAATCAAACCAAAAACACCATAAAACACTAAAAACAAACAAATACTATAAAATACCAAACAAAACACTATAAAACACTAAAAACAAACACTATAAAACACCAAACAAAATACCAAACAAAACACTATAAAACACCAAACAAAATACCAAACAAAACACTATAAAACACCACAAAATACGAAACATACATATTTAATAAATGAATAATAACAAAAAATTGACATGATATTAAACATTAAGAAAAGAATTTCACACTCAGATGTGGCTTTAGATGTACATAATGATCAAAGGTCATTAATTGGTGCAGAAACGTTTCATTAACGAGCAGCAGACAGAAAGAACTGAGCGAACTCGCCGACCTTCCCTTCATTATTAAAGTGTTTGTCATTGAAAATGTATCCCTGTCACTGTAACATGAGGAACTGTGTTAACCTGAGGCAACACAGTGTGATGGGGGTTAATGAGCTCCTGAGTGTGTGTGATAGGCTGTTGTGTTTTCTGTTAGGCTGATCATTATAATCTGACTCTGGTGTCTGATTTGGGCTCTGAAGGCTTCATGGTTAATCAGGTAGTTGTAATGTTTGTTCTCACCTGACTGGGTTTGTTAGAAGGGCCGGATTTGCTGCCCATCCATATGTACACCCTGCCTGACCCGTAATACGGAGCTCCGACTGCAAAATCTGACACAGAGGAGTTTCAGAGATGAGAACTTTCACCAGCAGGGGGCAGCAGAGCACAGCACTGCAGCTGAGACTGCTCTGATATTCTGATATTCTAATATTCTAATATTCTGATATTCTAATCGTCCATTCTGATTCAGAAAGCTGAATTTGTAACGTTCAGTAAATCACTGGTTTCACCTTGAAAGCCGT